CTTTCCTTGTTGTTACTGGAATGAAACAACAAAGAAAGCATTTTATTGTTTAAATAACTTCGCATAATCTTTATTTAAGTCAAGAGATATAATTTTTAGGTTCTAAAAGTATTCAGTTTCTAAAAATTACATGTTTCAGAACCTAAAAATTATATTTTTATGGGGAAAAATAAAAGTAAAAATAATTTCTGTCTGCCCCAGAACGAAAATATTGCAAAATGCCCTGGTACTTCTTCCTCCCTACTGTACGCGTGCGCAGAAAAGTGTTGAATAAGTTATAATAGTGACCATGGTCTCAGGTATCCACGAATGAATGTAAGAAGACCAAAAAATTTAATTTAATCTTTTTAAAAAAGTTGTTAGAACATGTTTCTCACCTTTGCATGATCCAGTTGAATGTTGTTTACAAGTTTGAGGTAAAAATAAGAGTTGCGTGACCTTGACATATACGAAACAACGAAACGGTAGATACAAGCTTTATTTTTCCGGCACTTATATTGTGCAGTCAATTCTTGCAGTTTAATTGTCATATAAATTCGCTAAATACTCATAATTTTCATAAGTTTTTCTCTGTATGCTACATGTATCTTAAAATTACGATATGATTTTGACTCACTGTGCCGCTTTAAAGACATCCTTGAAGAATGCAATTATCACCATTTTTTAAAACTGTATTTAAGGATTTTCTGTTTTCTGAACAGTTCAAGAGGAAATTTACATAAAATATACCATAGTGTTATATGTGTTCTGTCTAACCTCAAGTACTCTTTTACAAAATGAAAGATGTAGCTTTATGCTATCCCCATATTTCAGATTCATAACACAGTACAGGGCTAATATAAGTTTCAAACATTTCTAACTATGTTTGAATATTAAACTTCAAACCATTCATACTGTTTTAAACACCATTCCTTCCTGTGCTTCAAAATGTTGTTGTGAATTTGCAAATTTAAAATTAAGCTCATTAACTTCGTCTACAGTATTCCCATCACATGCCCAGTGTTCATTAGCTATATATATTCCACTGTTTCTAAAGACTTATATTTTTGTTTGCTCAGTTACATTTACAGTTACACTCCACTCTACTGTATATTAATCTCAAAGTACTGACAGTACTGAAAATCGGTAAGCATGCTTTCATCTTATATGTACCGAAAAAAGTGCATGAAATGATACTATTTAGGTACGCATATCTTTGTCCAATTTCATCAGAGAAATTCCAGACTCTCTGTTTTTTGTAAAACTTTATTTAAAAGTAAAACCAATAACATTCCAAAGTGATGTCACAGATGCATGCAATCGGAAGGTCGTATTGACGTGACCACGAATGAGATGTTTGAGAAGCGATAGCAGATTTGGAAAATATATAATTTTTTTAAAAAAAAATTAGGTAGTACAAAACATCTGTATTACACAAGTTTACAATAGATCAATTGATAATTTTAAAATAAGGTTCATTCTCTAATCGCATGTCAGATTACAAAATCTTATTACTTGGGCCTGTAAGGCCATATTTCAAACTTTGTGGGCAAAAAATGTGTGGTTGAATTTCTTTTATATCATATATAGAGAGAGATTTTGTATTCAAGAACAAAATATCAAAGTTTCAGAAAATTGAATTTGAGGAAAAATTTGGCTTATCTATTGGGTCCTACCTTAAGTAGACTGAGATGAAAGTTTCAAAATTTAAACATGAAATTTCTTCAGAGTGACGTACAAGAAGAGCAAATCTTTTTTAAATCTCTCTTGGTGGCGTCCAAACTTGCTAAGAATGAATAAAATTATGTTAATGTTGAAAAGAGCCATAGTGCATTTGATAGTCACTTTCGCCTACAGTAATTGTAATTTTTTAAATGTATTGTTTAACCAAAATTTTGTCATAGAATGTTAGCTTATACATGCCTTAAAGCAAATCACTTAAAAATAATATTCAAATATAAATAGTTCCCTCGGTCATATGATAGGTATACAAAGTGTTCAGTTTATATGCAGAATATAGTAAAACCCAGGAACCCAACTAAACAATAACAAACTGTAGCAAAAAACCACCCTTAACCAGAAAAACAACTTCTGGATAATTTTATTTGAATATGCCTACAGGTACATTATTACATTTGGATAATTTTGGTTAAAGTAATACACGCTATAACGTGCGCTTTTTTAAAATACGACTAGAAATTTATATATTTTGTTTATCAATAAAAGTTACGAAAATGCTGTAAATTACACCATTTAAATAAAATTCGTTATAAAGTTATCAAATTATAATTATTCATTATCCTGCAAGGAGAATAATGTCTATTTTTAAGTAAATCCACCACGTGATGCCGTTGCTACTTTAAGATTGATAAACAAACACGGCGTCAAGAAAACGAGGGAAGCCCTTTGAGATACAATTCACTTTTGATATGGATGGCGAATTACTATTATTATAACTTATCTTTAATTGTAATCAGTATCAACCATCTATACTCTGTTATGACGCATATTTACCTTTTATAAATAATAGTTGTCAAAATGCAACGTGCATCGTTGTCTTTAATTTCCCGTGGACATACGTGTCTATATTTAAACCTAATGTTTACGCACTTCCTTTATCAATATTCATGAAAAGACTGAATTCTTGATTGCAGATATTGCTTTTATGTTCTGTTATTACATCGAGTTTTAGAGTTAATTTTGTGGAAGCATTATTTTTTCATTACACTTTATGTGTTTCAAATCATTTAATCATTTTGTTTCACATACAAATCGGCATCCATACGGCGTTTATTACTTTAAAGGTGGTCTTCATATTAAAATGTTGAAAATATGTATTTAATTTTTCTTCTAAAATAATTTCAAGATTCAACAATCTGTCTTAAATCTATCCTTTAAATTTATATGACCTCGTGGTGTAGTGGTATGATTGCTGGATTAAAGACATTGTGGTCGTGGGTTCGAGTCTCACAGTGTGTGTAAGGGTGTGTGCGTTTTATGTCGACAATTGCATTTTTTTCTCTGTGCACTTTCCCCATGTTCTCTTTTATTATTAAATAATACATGAATGAATAATGTTAGAGATATATAATACAACATTACATATTGAAAGTATTTCGGGAAAAATTAGTCTTACACTATTTCAATAACCCAAATATATTAATGTCATGATAGCTGCTAGCTTGTTTAATTTTTTTTTAATTTCTAACAATCTTGTTTAGAATAAGGGTATTGAACAAGTTAAATGACTGTCAATTAACAAACTTGCAACTGATAACATACACGTACTTTTTTTTGGATCGGAAAGGTACATGTAACTTTGAATAGAAACAGGTGATTTCCTTTTAAATACTTGAGTAGGCCGAGTCGTCGGTAAGGCAGCTATGGCTTTTTAATTGTTTTTCATGCTCTATTCTAAAATTAGGTAATAGTAATATAGCAAACAACTTAAAAAGATAAAAAAAAAAAAAAGAGGCCAATCCTTAGACTAATGGATTAGGAGAAGCTGTATATCTTTGGCTAGCTAGTTTGATAAAAAAAAAAGGAAGGCTGAGCATGAATAGACTTTGGAAATGAATTAAGAGTAGCTGTATATCTTTGGCTAGCTAGTTTGATAAAAAAAAGGGGGGGAAGGCTGAGCATGCATAGACTTTGTAAATTTATTAGGAGTAGCTGTATATCTTTGTCCAGCTAGTTTTATTAAAAAAAAAAAAAAAAAAAAAAAAGGAAGGCTGAGCATGCATAGACTTTGTATATGAATTAATTCAGAGAGCTTCAGTTACGTATGCTCAATACAGTCGTAACCTGTCAACGGGGGATAATTACTTTTTCTAGGCACCAGATCCCAATTCTTGAACTTTCAAGGGTCAGATTGACTTCTTAAGTAGATCATTGTTCATTTTGTATTTTGATACAGATACTAAATACATCCGTTTATTAATATTATGAACTACTACTCTCAAAGGACGACAAGTAAACAAGACAAAAGTTTTAAGAAATGTGCGTTATCAACTTTTCAAACTAGTAAATGTTCGACTAAGTAAATGGCATATGGCAATCATTTAAAAAGAAGTGTTGTACAATATGTCTAGATGGGATATATACTGTGTATTTGTCACATGCTCCTCATGCAATATTGTTAACAAATAAAACAGTTATGTGAAAAGCAAAGTCTTTGTCTAATCCATCTATACTAGAGTATTTGTAAAATCTAAATGAACCCTAAAAGTCAGTGTAACTTTACGAAAAACAATTTGTTTGTCCATCGCAAGAACTATCCAGTTATCAGTGTCTTTTTCTTAAATATGTCGGTAAAACAATTTACATTGATATTTTTTAACTAATAACAAGTATCCGATTTCTATGCCTGTAAACACCTGATTTTTAATGACAAACGTGTTTCCTTATCCGTCCAAAGTATTATGGTGTATTTTCTTCTATTTGTTCGCCTTTTTAAAACATTGAAAGTGATTACAAAAAAATGACATTAGCATTTTTTAATTACAAAGTAGTTAAAACACTATCCATTCTATTTTACACATTTACTTATTTCTTCCGATTTTAAACTTTATATGGGTTAAATCACTGGTCCCGAGAAAATTATCGAGATACGGGAAGTTAGGGCGAGTTACATCCGTTCCTAAGATGTCGGTGTTTTTCTATTAAGCGGTTAGCGAATATGCCAACCGTTTAATAAAGAATTTAATCTATTTTATAAATCCTATGGCATAAATTCTGTGTCATCAGCATAAATGAGTAAAACAAATTAATAATTTGTAGTTCTATCATTGCTATCAAAAAGCAATTTATTATGGGGAATGGTAACCAACATAGAACATTTCACTGTATGCATAGTACATGTATAGTAAACCAGTGTGGTTTCGTACTGGTAACGCATTGGACAATTCTTCTCTATAAACGAAATAATAAGATAGCTATATAAGGAAGAATCCTTGAACACGCCGACAACTCATCCCTTTTAAATCATCAACTTCCCGTACTTATATTTGTCACTTACAACTCCCGCATTGTGTTCCTTTTTATGATCAGGAAATAACAGACAAAACCCATCGTCAATTCAGTTTATAACTAATGGACCAACAATAAGTATAAAAACATCATTCAGCATTTCACTTAATGATAAATTGTATTTTCTGACAAGGTATAAATGCTTCTATGAATATATTATATTTTTATTTTCAGATTGACTTTGAGCTTTAAAATTAATCATGGACCCCCGTACCAGTGCTCAGGACGTGATGCGATGTGACCTGTGTGAGACCGCTGTGGTACAGATGCACTGTGATACATGTCTTGTCAAACTATGTACATTTTGTGTAGGAAAACATATTATATCGGATGAATCCAAGGATCACAAAGTCGTGAAATTTCAGTCTAGGAAATCTACTCCCCTCTACCCTAAATGTACTTCTCATTGCAAGGAACAATGTGAAATGTACTGTAATCCATGTGACATTCCTGTCTGCACAAGTTGCGTTGCATCTGATAAACATCTTGGTCATAAATTTTTGAAAATTTTACATGTTTTAAATGAAAGAAGAAAGAAAATTATGAATGATGCAGCTGAATTAAATGAAACAATTTATCCAACTTATCAGGACATTGCCTCTGAGGTACAAAACAGAATGAGTCAGTTAGAAAAGGAATATGGAGATCTCTCAACAGCCATAACAAAATATGGAGAGGACTGGCACAGAGAAATTGACAAACTTGTCCTGAAACTTAAAGCTGAAGTTGATGTCATGAAAAACACACAGTTACAAACTCTACAGAAACATCTAGATGAAATAAACAAGAACATTTCTGACATCAAGGATGAAATCGATATAATTGAAATGGCTATAGACACAAATGAATTGTCAAAACTGTTTAGTGTCACACCCAGTGCACATTTATACAGAAATCTTCCACACAAAACGATACTATCTTTACCCAAGTTCACGCCAGGAACAATCCATGAAGAACTTGTTAAAGTGTTTGGAGCCTTATCATCAAGTTCTTCAACTTCAGATAAACATGGCTACAGCATGAAGACAACACAGAAATCACCAGAAGCTGGATCCTCTCCTCCAGTCAAACAGCTGCTTGATGAACCAGAGACTGTCACCACCATAAAAATAGACATACATTCTAAATTCTTTCCATACCTTTACAATGTGGCCTGTCTGAGTGATGAAGAAATCTGGACAAGTGGAGGTGACAACACCATGAAACTCTACAGCATCAATCAGGGATCACTACTCAAGTCTATCACAACCAAGTCAGGGAACACACCAAATGTCATAGCAGTGACAAAAAGTGGAGATCTAGTTTATACTGATAACAGAGATAGAACTGTGAACATTGTGAAGAATGAGAAGATAGAGGAGGTGATCAGACCACAGAACTGGAGACCTAGCGGTGTCTGTAGTACCTCCTCTGGTGACCTCCTGGTTATCATGGACAGTGATGATTACAAACAAACAAAAGTTGTCCGTTACTCTGGCTCCATAGAGAAACAAACCATTCAGTTTGATGATAAAGGTAAACCTCTCTATTCATCTAGTCTTTATAACAGATACATAACTGAGAACAGGAACCTGGATTTCTGTGTGTCTGACAGTGGATCTAGAGCAGTAGTGGTGGTCAATCAGGCCGGGAAACTGAGATTCAGGTACACTGGACATACTCCTGCTCCAAAGAACAAATCATTCCGTCCACGAGGAATCACCACAGACAGTCAGAGTCACATCCTTACAGCTGATATTGACAATAACTGTGTCCACATCATAGACCAGGATGGACAGTTCCTCCGTTACATACACTGTGGACTGAGTGTACCCTATGGACTGTGTACAGATACAAATGACAATCTGTTTGTTGCTGAATGGACAAAAAAACAAGTGAAGAAAATTAAATATTTGCATTGAGATAAATCATTGGTAACCTGAATAATGTTTACCTGTAATGAGGGAATTTTCTAATATTTTGCCATAAGGTCAAAAAGTTGCCCAAAATTATGTATCGAATTACAAAGAAATTGAAACAAAGTCTCATATAGAAGCACCAAATACTTCAAAACTTATGATTTCTTTATATTTTAGGGACTTATCATTTATATCATTTTAAATCAAAATCATGCGGTCAAAAATATGTACATACATGTATCAATCCATACAAGTCATGATAGTTTTATTTGTGTCAAGTATACCCTAAATCATAAAATTCCACACAATTATATACACTGTATCTGAAGGGAATGTCGGTAGTAAAACATATAAAATATATTTTATGTAATAATATACTTGTATCTGTGTTATGCCCCGCAGTGGGATCATGATTGGAAATAAATTCTATTCCATTCTATATTATTATATATGGGAAGAAAATTGCAACATTGATGAAATGTTTTCAATAAAGTCAGATATTCCATTTCATTAGGCTCATTTTCCATGCAGTCTCATAGAATGTAGTGAATCGAGTTCAGTAATGAGTATTAAAGTAAAATGCCTAGTGGACTTTGTCAAGAATTGACCTAAAATTAAGTGAAAATGTTTGAAAATTCTGCAGACTTAATAAGGCTTTATATGACCAATAAGCTAGGGGGTGTCCTTACTGTGGCTCGAACCTACAACCCTCAGATTTAAAATCCAATAGTCTACCGACTGAGCTAAAGGGTTAACCCACTACAGTAAAACTCGGTTATAATGAAGTCACTGGGACCTATGAAATTATTTCGCTCTATCCTTAAGGAGGAATGCCACACCAACTTTTTATTTTATAGATCTCTGAGTCAACCTTTATAAACAATGGTTTCAACATTGAAAGGCCGACATTATTTTATATGAATTTTTTTGCATTTTTTCAAAGAAAAAAAAAATCAATTACATCCAAATAGGGCAGAATTTGCAGCCCTCCGTCAGCAAGTAGTGGCGTCTCCTTACTAGTGAAAAATTCTTGAAAGGGACGATAAACACGCAAGCAAACAGGTTACTGTTGAAGGAGAATGTTTATGATTCTAATTGTTCGGAGGTGATTTCCTTAATAGTAACCAACAACCAATTTCGACAAGGATGTTTTATTAGCTTTAAGGTTAATTTGAATCTTTGTAAAATTCTCCAAACCAGAGACAAAAAGTCTTACAAAGGCAAACAAAATGAAATTGCATTATATAGTTTGTCCCCTTGAATGAACACAACAGAGGCGGAAAAATTATGTCCCTGGTTTTCCATTATGTCTTCCATATGGACACTTGTCAAAGAATTCCTCTTCCAGTATCTGCATATAACCTCGTTTTGAAACATCAGACATGGTGAAGGACTAGCTATGGTGCAGTTCCAAGTCTTTATATTTAGAATCACAGCCCCTACAGATGTGGTCTGGGATTTCCCTAGTCTCAATATATAGACTCAGCCCCTTCAGATGTGGTGAGAGATTTCCCTGGTATCTATATATAGACACACAATAATTGGTTTGTGAGGACATTCTATTGGGTATCCTCTCATATGGAGACTCCAGACATGGTGAAAGATTTCCCAGGTATCCCACCTTCTGGGAGTCGAGACATGACAACCTGAAATGACATACATGTACATAATCAATAACCGATATAATATGAAATTTCAGCAATACTTTACATAATATAATCATGTGGTTACTACAAAAACGAGACTTGTTAGGAAAGCTTAATTAATACTGAAACATCTCACACATTGTGCTTATATGTAAGAATAATGCTATGAAACCTAAACCAGAAGTGTTTAACTTACCCCTCTCTACCACAAATTTATAAATCTTGGTCAAAACAATATTATTTACAAATTGAACATTATCTGAAAAAGCATTACATGCATTATGTACATTACCTTTGGTTTCTTCAGTGAAGAGGACATATACCCCACACACATGCTATCTGTTGTGTGACCCCATAATACTTCCACTGTGAAATAAAATTCAAATAACGCAGTGTGCATAAATAATCTACCAGATTTCATTTGATATGCTATACATACAATGTTATGTTTGTTTATGTAAGATATAAATATCCATGAAAATTGCTTTAAAAGGATATCAGTGTAATCTATATGCAAGAATCTAATTAAAAAATCATAGTCAAGATAATCATTTTTAACATGTCTTTATAAGTACAGTTAAATCTCCATGGATACCTGTATCCCCCTCATTCTGTTTGAGAGCCAGCACCCCAGCTAACTTGTCAGCCTCTTCTTCTAAAAACTCCGACTCTGTCAGGAAAAGAAATACAAAATTGTATTCAACTAAGCTTTCACTGATAAATTATATTTACTGTGAATTTTTCAAGTCAATTAATGCTTTTGTTTTCAGCTAAGAAACTGATCAGAATTGTTTACCATCCTGGTTACCGACTTCAGATAAATTTCAGAATTGTACGGTTATGGTTTTATATTTTAGTCTATGAATATAAAGCTATAGATCCCGTTATGCAGATGTAGTGAAATTTATGGCACAAGATTTTCTGTGCATTGTTACAGGGATGTATTTCTTCACTTTCAGCATTTGCCAATCAACTACCTGATTCTGGACATATTCCATGATCAACTTTTATATTATATCTCCTAACATGTCTATCCCTTAATAGTTTTCAACAGACTAATAAACCGGTTTATTTAGAATTTTTGGTCGGGTGTCAGATATTTCTAAACAGTCAAATTTATTGGTCCTTAGACACGACTATAAAGGAAAGCTAGGATCAGTAGCGTTATGGTCAAGGATTAAGCATTAAACCATTATCATGATCCAGTTCTGCATCTATCTGTAGTTACTGAACTTAAAGCATTTTAAGTTTGCCAAGTCTAGTCTAACAAAGTCACTGACCTTAGAAGTTATTTCTAAAACAGTTGGACAGTACTAGACTAGCAAAGTCACTGACCTAAGAAGTTATTTTTAAAACAGTTAGACAGTCCCAGACTAGCATTATCTTCCCGTTGTATAGACAAGGCACTCTCTCTGGCCAGTAATGTCTTCATAATGTGTTCTCCACTTCCTGTATGAAATGTATAATGATATAAAACACATGTTATATGACAAGAGGCCCAGGGGCCACATCGCTCACCGGAGCAATTTGCTAGGAGAATCAGAATTAAAAGTTTACTGAGTCTGAGGGGGGAAGCTTGAGTTTTAACCCCCCAGGGGTTTATGGTTTGAACAAACTAGAATCTACACTGCCTGAGGATGACCCCATATAATTATCACTAAGCATGAATTTGAAGTACTTGAAACGGGATTTTAAAAGGTTTCATTATATAATCTTGTGTAAAACTTTGATTGTCCATTTTGGCCCAATCCTATCCACGGGGGTCATGATTTGAACAAACTTAAATCTACACTATATGAGGATAATTTCACATGAGTTTCATCTTTCCTTTGGCACTCCAAATTTACAAAAATGAGCTAAACATAATTCCACAGTTGATAAACTAGTTTTATCGGTTGTAAACTATAGTTTACAGACTGTAAACTATAGTTATCAAAGTTGATCTATATTTTTCATCTGTAAACCAAAGTTAACACAATAATCTATGTTTCAGAACCGTAAACTATACTTTACACTGAAAACAATCATTTGCGATTGCAAAACATATATTTTCTGATACTATTTGTAAACTATGATACACAACTCTTAGCATTGTTCTTGATTGTTACTTAAAGTTTATAGACCTGAATATATGTTTATCAACAAAGTCTTTTGTTAACGTTTTATTACAGACAGATAACTTAGATTAGCATCTTTTTAAACAACAGTTTAATATAGTTTTACAGGTAAAAAGTATGGTTAAGGAATTGTTAACTATAGTTCATAGTTTGTAAACCATAGGTTACAGTTGATACACCTAGTTTATCAACTGTGAAACTATGTTTAGCTCATTTTTGTGAATTTGGTATGCCATACATAGGATTTGAAAAGTAATATGTTAAAAAATTATGGTAATAGATCCTTTATGAGTCACATGAAATATATTGTATTTAATGTAACATTCTATTGAAATTCCAAATTTTCTGCAAAATGACATACTGTATATGCTTCTGAATAAATTTGTTGGGTTTCATAACTGCATCTGAATGACTTCATTTCTTTGAATAATAAGACTAGTGAAGTTTTAGATTTTGCAAAAAATACATACGCACACCGAGCTTACATCATTAAAAATGTATGAGTACACTACCTTTCCAAAGATTTGGGTCAAACATATATATGATTTTTTTGGCAATATGTTTGCACTAATCTAGTAAACTGTTCCTTACACTTTTCATGGTTTCCTAGGTAATTCTGTGACCTCTATCTAATTTTAAGGCTGTCTTACCTGATGTACTGGTTCCCACCCCTGCTTTTCCTGGTCTCTGATTGTAGGCCCAACATCCTGCACCATATGTTGCTGCCTTAACATTAAGGAGTAAATACATGTATCAAAAGTCAAGTGTTTTTTTCTGCCTCTCAATAAAATCATACAATTTTGACCTCACAAGCTCTGTCCACTGTTCAATTCAAAGACCTCAAGTGAGCATATTTCCCAATATATTCAGTCAATAACCTAAACATAAATGTCCCTTATCAACAACTTATCAAAAGAATTCATCTTTTAGATACTGAGTAATATATATAATTTATATTTATTGATAGTGTACACACAGGACCAAGCCTACCTGGCTGTTTGAGAGAAATTCCACCACTGGACACCGCTGTTGCTATGTTACCACTGGTATCCATGACAATAGCTCCCACAGTGTCCTGTATCTTCTCTTCTTCCTATCCACCATTATACTCTTTATTATCATCTCTCTACACAAATACAAGAATGATGGTCATATATCAACCTCATTACATTGTATGTAGTTTGAGGCACTGGGAGGAATGAGAATCGAAACTGACCTACTGATTATCCATGTGACCACTTTCCATTAAGAGTGACTGCAGATATTATAGCAAAATTTACCTGTTCTGATAACTTCATTTTCTTGTTGGCGTCTCTTTCATTTACAATGTCCAGTTCCCTTTTGTGATTCTGGTAAGTTTTCTGTGCATCATCTAAAGTATAATACAAGAAGGTCTGAATATTTTACACCTAGCCATTACTGGAGACACCTGCTTTCAGAAAGAGACTGTCATTTAATTGAAAGTCTCTCTTTCCTATATTTATAAACCAATCTTACAGCTTTTACCTTTTTTCATTTATTTACTATTTTACCTGTAATTATGTGTCTAAATTCTCTTTCACTTTGGTAATTTATTGACTATTTTACCTGTAATTAGGTGTCTAGTTTCTCTTTTACCTTAGTCGCATATTGACTATTTTACCTGAATAAGGTATCTACTTTCTCTTTTACCTTAGTCACATATTGACTATTTTACCTGAATAAGGTGTCTAGTTTCTCTTTTACTTTGGTCATTTATTAACTATTTTACCTGTAAGTGGGTGATTAGTTTCTCTTTTACCTTAGTCATGTGCCGATTATTTTACCTGTAATTAGGTGTCTAGTTTCTCTTTTATCTTATGTCAATTATTGATTATTTTACCTGTAATTAGGTGTCTAGTTTCCAAAGTTTTTATTCCATTTTCTTCAGCCCATTGTTTAGCTCCATCACCTACAAGAACACTGAAGAAGACAGTTTACTTTAAAAATATTTATTAAATTAAAAGAAGATGACATCATGATAACATCAAGCCACCATCCCTATTAGATCAGTAGGGTATGTTCAGTCATGAATTACTGCAAATCACTTTTTATTCGAGAGAATTTTATTTTCGCGTAATTACGCGAGACAGTGTGCTCACAAAAATTTAATTCTCACGTATAATAGTATTCCTTAAGATTATATAGACTGATTACCACAATTCGCAAAAATTTTGTCTCGCTAATCAAGAGTCAATGACTATTACGCAAAAATAAGATGTCGCGAAAATTTAGTGATCTACAGTATATTTACCTTGGGTGAAGTCTCCCTAAGGACAATTTGTCCCCCAACTGTCTGGTTACCAGTGAGGCCGACACCTCTATTGGGTTCTTGACACCTGGAACACAAAATATATATTAAAACTTAAACTTAAATCACAAAAAAAAGATTCTCTTTTCCCCATATTTATTTTTCCCTGTATTGTGTAATTTCTTACCAGAAATGGCCCCCACTGCTCCAAACATCAGCTTCTTTCCCTCCATAACAGAGGCGTCACATTCAACAGAGCCACTGAGGTTTAGATTATATCCCATACCTGCATTAGTCAGCACTGAATCCTTAAAGATGAAGACAAAATCTTGCACATACTACAGTTAAACTTCAGTATCTCGGCCACCGATATCTGATTTGAAATCCCAACTACTTTTTCTTGAAGTATATTACCCTGGATATCTCAATGAAGTTTGTGTAACAAGATTTTACAGTGATTTTAAAAGCAATAGTAGCAGATTTAAACACCAAGGAATTTTGGATGATTATTTTTATCAAAAAGAGTTTATTTCTTGTGAAAATATATAAGTAAAGTTAACAGTTAATACCCTCAGATGTGGAAAATAGTACCTTTTTTTTATTAAAGTCATATGTATTGTGAAGTTGTAAAATTAATACAACTGTATACAAGGAAGCCATCTTGGATTTGGTACTTGGCAAAAAAATATTTATGCTAGCTCTCTTTACATAAGAGCATAGCTTTCCATAACTGTTATGTAAAAGCTATGCTGTTGAACAAACCCCAGAAATTTTACTAAAAGTGTTAAGCTTACCAAGTTAATGTTCCAAACTAGATCCAATCTCTGAAGTTTCGAGAAAACTTTACATGTTTGCTCTGCTCCTGAGTTTTATTGATTCAACTGATTTGAGCTTCAGATTACCATTTATTAGTGTCTCCATATTTAATTCAAATACAAACGTACATGTTACTATACCATCCCTGATGTGGTGAGAGAAATATATATTCGTATTTGCTCTTGCAGTTTGAAAGTTTGTAGTTTTTTGTCCATACCTCTAAACATTTAACTGCCTCTGCCACACATTCTACAGCACCCCACCCTTTCTTGAGCAAATGAGACACCTGATAAAACAAAAACCAAGTATTAAAATGTGAAACAATGGGCCCTGACATAGGCCACATAATCCCACACTGCACATCTGAACTATCAAGCTATCAATCTTTACTGTAAAATCACAGGATATGACCGTACGGTAATTTTTTAGAGATTTTAAGAAAAAATATTGATCTAAGTTGATTTAACCTTCTGGTTGGTGAATTATAAAACACATAATTATACGATTCGTATATGAATCCTACAATACATGGTGAACAAGAATTCATCAATTTCATTATCAAAAAGAACATTTTGGTGTTATAAACCTGTCAAATCTCTTCTCTTTTTATCTCATTAAGCCTTTTAAAATTATTTTTTGTGTCAATCTATTTGCCAAATGTTATACAAGGCCAAAGGGTCAAAATGCTCAACGTTTTTTATCAGCAGTTTTTACCCAGTGAAACTTTGAACACAAATTGTGGTCCACCAGACCCCAAAGTCATGATTTGAATAAAGCTGAATCTACACGTACACCACCTGAAGATCCTTCTATAAGAGTATGACTAAGCATTAATCATGAAATTAATGCTCCTGCGAAAACATAAAAGATATTTCTAATACATTTGTATGTATTGATTGCCTCTGTGGTTCCCTATCAGCAGTCATCATGGACGAATCTACATTACCTGTGGATGTTTCCAAAAAGATGTTTTGTTGGTAGGGTAATGATACAAATGAAATGGAGTAACGAAGTTTTGAATTAGAATACCTTGAAGAAACTTCATGAAGAACAGCAAAACCTGAGTAGTTATATTCCTTTGGCAAAGGAATATAAATACTCAGGTCTTGCTGTTCTTCATGAAGAAGTTTTTTCTAGGTATTCCTATTCAATACTTCGTTACTCTATTGCATTTGTGTCATTACCCTACCATTAAAGCATCTTAATCTGCACTAAATCAGGAGACTTTCACATAATTTTCATCTTGAGCAGAAGATTTTAAATTTTTACTTTTTCATAACTATCTCCCAATGGAAGAGGGTGTGGCCCTCCATTGGAACTTTGAACCCTCTTGACCCCAGGATACTCTTTGCTAGGCTTACCGTAGTTGACATTGGGGAACAGTGGTTCCAGAGAGGAAAATAAAAATGTTTTTAAAAAATATGAAAATAACAACAAAGACGACAGACCACGTCACCAATGACAATTTTTTATCAGAAAATTCACACCTCTGGTTCAGTTGAGCTAAAACTCAAATATAAGGAATTTAATCAATCAAGAAATACACAATGAAACTGTAGTAATAATTCTTCTGAAGGGAACATTTACATGTATATTATTAATGTGTATTTACCTTTAAGCATTTAGATTTACAGAGTTTCACATAAGCATCTTTTTTTTGTGTTGAATGGTATCCTGCACCTGGAAGAAATAAATAAAAACATGACATTAAAGAATTTTTATTTATTCCTATTTTTAACCCCCTTCTAAACCAAACAGAAAATAAAAGTTGAGCAACATAATTACAAATTTTGCATTTGTCCCATCATGACAAAAAGCACAAAGCAAGTATGACAAGTTGACATGGGATGCTTACTCCTCTATGGCACTAGATCTCATCTCTGATGCTTCAAGAGAACTAATTTATGTGTTTGCTCTGCCCACTGTTGTATTAATTCAGTTGACCTTTGAGCCTTAAAGATTACTGTTCGTTATCTCCATATTTCATTCATATTCTTGCTACAGCTATACTTTTCCGTTGTGGTGGGAGAAATAAATACAGAATCTTGCTTTCATATGCCTAAGTAGATTGAGAGTTATTTTTATACATGTAATTGAATATTTCTTTTGTAAATTTACATAATTGACATATTACATTTCCAATGCTTTAAAATTATAAAATGTGATAATGTTCTAAATTTAAATAAATATTAAAACCCAGCATTTTAAATTTCAACTGTTATACTAAATTCAAATAATTTGCATAGAAAGGTATCTAAATCCCCTTCTAGACCAGGAAGTATAAACACCTGACAGGTAGATAACACAGGTGTGTCACGTGATCAGTGTGTACTGTGTACAGAGAGACTGCACTTGGAGATCGACCATGGACGACCGCCATTACTGAATTCTCAGGTACCGGTAATAATAAATAGGATAGTATTAACTCATTTGAAAACCGTAAGATTGAATATGTTTTAACCATGGGAACAGAATTCATCTATTTCCTAAGCCCTGTTGGATTAAAGATAGATGTCTTTATTTAACTTTTGAAAATATTCCTAGTAAGAATGTAAACATTTTATTTTCAGATTGATATTATAGAGCTTTGAAATTAATCATGGACCCCCGTACCAGTGCCCAGGACGTGATGCGATGTGACCTGTGTGAGACCGCTGTGGTACAGATGCACTGTGATACATGTCTTGTCAACCTGTGTACAGCTTGTGTAGGGAAACACATGATTTCTGATGAATCCAAGGACCACAAAGTTGTTAAAATTCAAGCCAGAAAATCTACCCCCCTCTACCCTGGATGTACAACTCATGCCAAAGATCAATGTAGAATGTACTGTAACCAATGTGACATTCCTGTTTGCACAAGTTGCGTTGCATCTGAAAAACACCTTGGTCATAAAATTTTGAAAGTTCTACAAGTTTTAGATGAAAGAAGAAACAAAATTAAGAAAGATGTAACTGAATTAAATGAAACAATTTACCCCACCTACCAGGACATTGCCTCTGATGTACAAAACAGAATGAGTCAGTTAGAAAAGGAATATGGAGATCTCTCAACAGCCATAACAAAACATGGAGAGGACTGGCACAGAGAAATTGACAAACTTGTCCAGAAACTTAAAGCTGAAGTTGATGAGATGAAAAACACACAGTTACAAACTCTACAGAAACAACTGGATGAAATAAACAAGACAATGTCTGACATAGAGGATGAAATTGATTCACTTGAAATGATAAGAGACACTAATGACTTGTCAAAACTGTTTAGTGTCACACTCAATGTAAATTTATACAGAAACCTTCCAAACAAAATGATACTATCTTTACCCAAGTTCATGCAGGGAACAATCCATGAAGAACTTGTTAAAGTGTTTGGAGCCTTATCATCAAGTTCTTTAACATCAGATAAACATGGCTACAGCATGAAGACAACACAGAAATCACCAGAAGCTGGATCCTCTCCTCCAGTCAAACAGCTGTTTGATCAACCTGAGACTGTCACCACCATAAAAATAAACATACAAGCAGTATATTCACTGATTTCCTCACAACTTTACAATGTGGCCTGTCTGAGTGATGAAGAAATTTGGACAAGTGGAAATGACAACACCATAAAACTCTTCAGCATCAAGCAGGGATCACTACTCAAGTCAATCAAAACCAAGTTAGGGAACTCACCAGATGACATAGCAGTGACAAAAAGTGGATATCTAGTTTATACTGATTATGATGATAGAACTGTGAACATTGTGAAGAATGAGAAGATAGAGGAGGTGATCAGACTACAGAACTTGAAACCTGACAGTGTCTGTAGTACCTCCTCTGGTGACCTCCTGGTTACCATGATCAGTGATGATTACAAACAAACAAAAGTTGTCCGTTACTCTGGCTCCACAGAGAAACAAACCATTCAGTTTAATGATAAAGGTCAACCTCTCTATTCATCTGGTGTATATGTTACCGAGAACAGGAACCTGGATATCTGTGTGTCTGACTATGGAGCTAATGCAGTAGTGGTGGTCAACTGGAAACTGAGATTCAGGTACACTGGACATACTCCTGCTCCAAAGAACCAACCATTCAGTCCACGAGGAATCACCACAGACAGTCAGAGTCACATCCTTACAGCTGATGGTAACAATGACTGTGTCCACACATAGACCAGGATGGACAGTTCCTCCGTTACATAGACTGTGGACTTAGTAGACCCTGGGGACTGTGTACAGATACAAATGACAATCTGTTTGTTGCTCAACAGAGCAACAAACAAGTGAAAAAAATTAAATATTTGCATTAAAATAGATCCTTGGTAGTCTGAATAATGTTTACTATAGGTATAATGGAGGAAATTTCTTATATTTTGTCACAATTGTTAAGGCAAAAAATTGTGCAAAATTTTGTTTGGAATTATATAGAAAGTGAAACAAAGTCTGTTATCTAAGCACCGAAGATAACACGATTTCTTGATATTTTAGGTACCTATTATTCATATTATTTCAAATCAAAATCATTGCAGTCAAAAAATATGTTCATCAATCCATACATTAAAAGTAAAATGCTGCTGGACTTTGTCAAAAATTGACCAAAATATCAGTGGAAATGTTTGATAATTCTGCAGACCTAATAAAACTTTATCTGATCTAATAACAGAACTCGAGCCCTGTTTACAAAAACTGTGTACATAACACGAGTGTGCTCGGTTTGCTAAACTCTTTACGCATCTCTTAGTTCGGAATGACAATACTTGTGAAGGTGTTTTGCTTTCTAACATTTCTACTCTGAATAAAATTATTTTTCTTGATAAAAGTTTTAATATTTCTCATTAAAACACATCAAAATTGCCACTTTTCTTAAGGATTAAGAATAAAGTTAAAATTTGTGAAAGTGCAAGGATGTGTCAATCAAACCCGCCAAAAAATTTCAAGTTTTAATAATTTTTATATGTAATAAGATTTTTAATTAATTTTTGTGTGAAATGCTATTAAAATATATAATTCATGATATTATACAGAAAAAATGAGAAAATATTAACTTCAAATCTGTGTCCAAGTATCTTTAACCCACTACTGTCTACAGTAACACTCGGTTACTACAAAGTCACTGGGACCTACAGTATCTGCACGGCCATAATATTAAGTGAGTCATAATTTATTTTTCCACTATATACTTAATTGAAAAATGCAATTTTCTAAAATACTTATCAGTGTTATGAGTTGCTCATTTTTTATGAATAAAACACCATAAAATGCAGAATTCTTTGTAGTTTCTTCAGATTAATATTTCAAAGTAATTTTATCTTTAGGCATTACAGTGAAATCACAGGTCAAGTGCAAAATAGAAATTTTAAGACTTCATCATTTGTTAAGAAATTTTAGTAATTTGAGGATTTTCTTTATCATTTTAGGACCAGAAGAATTTAATAATATTCTGCATGATTCAGTGAAAACACCATGAAAATTGAGCTAAAATTGACTTCACAAGTTGGTTTTACAATGAAATATACAGTGTAAAAATGCAATTTTGACTCACTTATGGTCACATACTGTATGATATTACCTCGCTATATCTGTAATTTGTTATATCCGTATAATAAATTCATTAAATTCATATTGCCGGGGATCCAAGATAACTTCGCTATATCCCTGAATTAGCAATATCCATGTTTGTGTTAATTATTACCAAGTTTTACTGTGGATTAGTGCTAGTAGGAACATGGCCTCACTATGTATAACACATTGATAGTCACTTTTTACTTTTTTACATACACTTCTCCCTTTACCAGGTGACATCCAGGAAAACCAATAAAGGACTATGTATGTTAAGAGCCAATTTTGGCCCCCTAAAAATCAGCATTTTAGAATGACATTCAGATATTTTTAATTGATATTTATTTTGTAGAAGAGATTATATTAGATATATTTCCAATATATTTTTCACATTTATATGCACTCACTGGCTATACATGATGACAGAAATAACACTTTTTTATATATCCACCCGAAAAAGCCATTAATACATCTTTTTCTTGATGTTTTTTCTTATGGGAAACATAGTGCGCATTGTAGAACATGCATAGTTTTTCTGTCAGTAATTAGTATTGAATAGATACATCTTTGGTAAAAAATTAGAGTATGTTCTAGATTGCGCTCAATATTTTCTGGAAGAAAAACTGCTTAAAAATAAGCATTTTCATACAAAATATGCTAAAATTGTGGGAAAACATAAACTTTATGATGTCATATTTCTATATTAACAACATTTTGATCAAATTGAAAATTAACAATATAGGTCACATGTATAGCTGTGTAAAATAAAGCTATATATATAAATTGAAAGTAAGATATTCATTTTAGGGGGCCATTTGAGACACTAACCATATATTGCTCTTTAGCTATATACCCTAAAATCTTGAAAATAAGACGGATTTAATAATAAGCCGGTTTTGAAAATAAGCCACCCATTTCTTGCATTAAAAATTACTCGAAAATAAGCCAGTTTTGAAAATAAGCCGGTCATGGCAATGCCATTTAGGAAAGATGTTAAACGTTTGACGATTTTCTCGTCTTAAAAATCTGACAAATGACTATATTTATATACTGTGCAAAATAAAAAGTTTATCTTTCTTTAATTCGTTTAACCTTTACCAATTTCTGCATATGATATAGTACGAACGAGTAACGATGTCACAGTAGAACTAAATCTGTAGCTAATAATGAACTTATGTTAAATTACAAAATAAAGGGTTGTTTATAAAGTATAGATTTAAGTTTGTTCAAATACCCCTCACCCTCCCTTGAACCCACCTTTATATTGAAACTTTTCAAAGCTGAACTGATTTTTGCTTTTACCTAGGCAGTTGCTCAGATGAGTGATGTGGCCCCTGGATCATTGTTAATTAACGGAATATAAAGGATATATCAATAAAAATTTTCATCTTATAAACTAAAAAGACACTATGTATCATATTAATTTAAAAGCATCTAAAGCATGTATAGATTAAAGTAGTAATCATGTCACCCTGGTTAAAAAAAATTAATTGCGGAACAAGCTTAAATGGTGATTTTTTTTCATGAAATTGTCAGAGCAATAATTATCTCATCAAAACCTGTACAAGCTAATGATGTGTTTGGGAGGTAATTAAATGAATAAAAGAAAGTTTTTGTTTGTAAAGCATTGAACTGCCAGGTAATACTGCCCGAAGCAAGAAACCTGCTGATTGGCAGGGCTTGGTAGTAATTAAATTTTAATGTACTGTATAGTTGAGTTGTATAGATATGTGTTAGTTTGATTAACATATAAAATAATTCAATTGCAAGCGGATATCTTATATATTATTTTTACTGTTTAAAAACAAATTTATATTTCATATTAGAGATTGTTCTATCTGACGTATCCGTATCCGTATACGTATCCGTATCCGTATCGAGATATGAAAGGCATCTCGATCCCGATGTCTAAACCATTTAATACAATTCCATCTCTGTTTGTGGTTACTTAAATAAGCCACAGTCTTGCATTGAAAAATAACAAATGGTATTTTTTTTCTATAAAAATACTAAAATGCTGTAAACCTCTATCATTTCGAAGAAAAATATTGATTAAAAAAAAAAAGAAAAGAAAATGAAACCAAGTTTAAAATTAATTTCATTTTGTTTCCAAATATTTCTTGAAAAATCCCCTTTCTCCTTTTCCTCTCTCATAATATCAGGATATTTTATTGATTCATTCTGTATTTTTCACTATACCATTACACGTAACTGATAACATAATAGATACCCCCCCCCCCCCCACACACACACACTGAAATACAAAATACCTTATCATCAACGCGATCAATAAAACTCTGTAGCCGTTTTAGAGAGAGTTTCAAATTGATTTCATAATTCGCTTCAGGACCGTTACAAGTTTTGAGTATATGCTTTGTATAGCCAGTTCAGCTCCCTTCTTTTCACCTCCCCTCACATTGGCGTCGGAAGGAAATTGAAAGTAGGGAGTGGAATAATTGAAAGAGAGAAATATTCAGCCCTGAAAAAGCAGAAAAAAGGAATATTTTTTGTTCATTGTCCAAAATCCTTAGATACTATTGTGTGAGTGAGTGTGTGTGTGTGGTGGTTGGGGGGGGGGGGGGGTCGAACTTTTTTCATTACAATTTTCTTTTCAAACACTACAACTTACCCTACTTTAACCATTGGCGTCGGCAGCAAATTGTAATTTGTAATTTGGGGGGGGGGGGGCTATTTAAGAAATATTTTTGTTATTCCTTCAAAAAACAAAAAACAAAAAAAACCTGACAGGCAAAAAAAGGAAATGTCCGTCTAAACACGAAAATCCTATTTCGGGGGGAGGGGGGGGGTGTTAGTTTCACTAGCAATTTTTTTCCAAACAACACCACTTTCCACATTTATTTAACCTAAGCTAAAACATGTTTGTGGAAAGTGGGGGGGGGGGGGGGAGGCGGCTTAACCTAAGCGATGTTCAATGTCTATATTAAGTCTATCTTTGGATAAAAAAGTGGGGGGAGGGGCGGATACGCCCCCTAGCCCCCCGGTTCCGACGCCTAAGTTAACTGCAATACAACATGCCTGTTGAGAGTGGGGAAGGGGCTTATCCTACACCTCAATATATATTATGTCCATCTTTGCAAATAAAGTGGGGGGGGTGCGATAAGCCCCCCCCCCCCCACACACACACACAATAGCATTTAAGGGTGAGTTTTTCAGAGCTTGCTTTGTTTACTAAAAACTCCATCATGTAACTTTCATGAAAAGAAGCTAATATGCAAAAAGAATAGTTTAAGAGAGGAAGATACATCATAATCTAACATTTATTTTCCTCCCCCTTTATCGACAAGTGTTTAATCAATCAAGTCTAAAATAATCAGCGTTTAAACGCAACACTTTCAGATCTTGTACATAGTCATTTCTCAAGCTTCTTGAAACCCTGGATATGCATAGGCGTCGGAACCGGGAGGGGGGGGGGAGTAGGGGGCGGCTTAGCCCTCCCCCTCTTTCTTGCAAAGATAGACATTATATATAGGCAATTAAAATTGGGGTTTATCTTTTTTTGTTGGTTTAGCTCCCCCTTTCAACTAGCTCCCCTTCCCATCTCCTTCCGACGCCCATGATACGGTTATCGACCTACAATTTAGGAAGTGTATTCAAGCTGCCCACGAATTACCAGATATCCAAAATTTTTCTGGAGAACTATGATCATCAAATACGTGATAATGAATGGCATAGAAGATGATAAAAAAGGAAATGAGGATGGACATTTTCAGTGAATCCCCCCTACACATTTTTTTTGCACTTTGATTAAATCTTTCCCTGTTAATGTACAACTACATGTATTTACAATTTACAAGTTTGAGATAAAGAGGTTTAACTGTATATATAATTATATATTACTGGGGATATGTCGTGTTCTTGTAAATGTTATTTCAAGAATGAAGAATGAATACCCTAAAATTGAGAGAGAGAGAGAGAGAGAGAGAGAGAGAGAGAGAGAGAGAGAGAGAGAGAGAGAGAGAGAGAGAGAGAGGTCGATCTAGAAATATTTTCTACACAATTAAAATTACAAAAATTCATACCTGTTTTACTTATTTTATTTCTAAACTTTTATACCCCCTCCACCCTAA